TACCAAGCAATAGTATTGCTCGGTATTACTCAATATTGCTAGGTATTGCTAGGTATCTTGACATAATGGTATTTCTCGTTATTGTCAAACAATATCGAGCAATACCTAGCAATACCCCGGTCTGTACAAATCAGTCAATACATAGCAATCATGGGTCCGGTCCGGGTCAGTTCGTCGGGCCGCGCGGTAAATAGTAAGAGCACGTGGCACCATTTTACTAGCGTCCGAACGTAGAGCTACGTCAGGACACCGGACCTAATAAAAATTCCATAGAGAGAGTCATGGGAGAAAATCATACACACGTGTTGATTATATAAGAACACCTTATAGAAGAAATGAAATTTCTATGTGAAAATATTTAAAAGGGATAAAAATCACGAGGTAAGATTAAGTTGAAATTATCCAACTAGTATACATATTACAAATGATGCTCATCCTAGTAATTAATCAGCACATCAATACAAATACTATAAATGAATTATGGAAGATTACTTCTTCGATGGAAGTAGAAAGAACTTTAGGGCATTGGAGTTGTCATCAAAGCTAGAATGAGTGTTGATCTACTTAACTATTTGATTTGCAAAAGGGAAGAGCCCGATAAGAAAGATGAACATCAACCTTAGTAGTGATGATGGATGTCCGTCTTGATGATGACATCAGGTTTCGACATTAAGGATCGATGATGTCAGGTGTCAGAATTGGAGACAAGCATAAGGAATGTTCTTACTGATGATAATGGACATTATTGATGATAGTGGGCATCAACCATATTAGTGATGTATGACATTGACATTAATGATGATGATAGGTGTAAGCCTAGATTTTGATAATGGGTAATCATGATGGTGTGCATAGACCTCGATCATGGTGGCAGGCATCAACGTTGATTATAGCAGCTAACTTTAGGGTTATTTGTAATGACAATATGTGGGGTTGTTGGTGATGAAAGCTATTGTCATTTTATACTAATTAACAACATGCATTAGTCTTATTGATTGTATCGCGTGTCAATCTTATTAAGCTAACATTGACATGAAATTTTTAACTTGCCATTTTTTAAAGTTTATTTATTTGAATAATTATATATATATATATATATGAAAAACTATAATTTCTAAGAAAATAAAAACAAAAGTACGAACAAAAATAAAAAAAAAAACAATTGAATGACGGATAAAAAAAAAAAATTAATAGGGACGAATAAAAAAATCAGAACTAATAAAAAAACGATAAAAGAAAAAAATTAGTAATGACCAGTCTCTAGCCCTACTAGCGACCGGTGAAATTTATTTTGTATATTCTTTTTGTTTTTTTATTGTTTTTTTTAATTCTTTATTTCGTTTCTATTCATCCTTTTTTTTTAGTTTTGGTTATTACTTTTTTTTTTCTTTTTCTTCTTTTTTTTTGTTTATTTCTTGTGTAATTTTTTATTTTTATTTTTTTGTTCCAAATGTTTTTCTTTTCAAAAAATTAATAAAAATCAAAAGTTGAACATTTTATCGACTTGCTTAATCTGCCCTCCTTGTCCATATCAATCCCACCAGCCATTCATTAGTATTTTTTAAAGGGAAACTCACGACGGGGCCAATGTGATAATTAAGAGAAAAATTATATGTCCTTAAAGGACCAAAGGCTAACTAAAAGAATAACATTTAAAATAAAACATAAAAGCCGATAGTTCTATCTATTATAAAATTAAAGCAAAAAAAAAAGGAAAATCACAAGAGGGATGAAGCAGTAGGCAGCCACTTAATGAATCCCTTCAATCGACAGGAACCACCTGCAAGAAAGCACCAAAGAAACACCTGCAAAGGAAGAAGGCAAAAACCACCAGCCAACTGACAAAAACAGCAACCCATCAAAACGACCCAAAAGAATAGGAACAAACCAAAGTTAATCCACACCAACAACACCAACCAACTCAGCCCATTAAAACGACCCAGTCATCAACACATAGAGCCACACCCACACCAATCCAAAGAAACAAAATAACCCCAACCAAGCAGAACCCAATAGCTAAAAGAAGACCAAAAAAAAAAAAACTCATTTCTTTTTGGATTTGCGGCATTGCCGCTTACCAGCCTTTTTGAAATCCTCAATAATTTGGATAATTTAAGTCTAAGTTATCCCGAGAATCTAATTCTTGCACATTAATTTCCTCCCTAGCATCCCAATTAGTTCAGGAGTTGTCATCATATAACCAATCACCATGCAACACCTCATTGTCCAACAATTTACAAGCAGCATGAGCTATTAAAGCATCGTTGGAATAACATACATAGGAACATCAACAAGAGGTACTTTAACTTTTTTAGCCTCAGGATCAACACCATCAGGAAACGAAGCAATACAATAAGAAAGAGTATCCAAATAGTTAGCAACCTCACCACTCTCCACCGGCACAAGCCCACCCACAGAGCCAACATCCTCTCAGTTTTCAGGGACCAGAGGGACATAATCATCAAAAAATGCAACTTCAACAACACAGACATCAATATTAGAGTTTGGAGAAACATAAGGACTAGCTACCAAATTGACTAAGCAAGGATTAGACTTAGTATCCTCAATAACACCCTTATTGGTTCCACAAGGAGTCAGAGGAAAAGTCCCCTCAACATCCCCAATGTTATCAATGATATTTTCCCCAGCAATAGTAACATTAACGCCACTCTCCCCATTAACCACAACCTCCATCGAATTAATAGGAGGTAAAGTAGGAATCAAATTTTGAACAGGACCAGCAACAACCACAATTTCCAGTACAACATTAACATTCTTATCAGAAATGTTCTGTTTAGCTGAACCAATCATAAGAACAACCTCCATCGGATTAATAGAAGTTAAAATAGGAATCAAATTTCGCACATGACCAACAACAGCCTCAGTTTCCAACACATTATTAACATTCTCACAAAAAATGTTTTGTTTATCTTAAACAATCACTAGAACAGAAGAAGAGGAATGATATTCACCCAGCAAATGACCAATTGATTTGCATCGATCATAAAAATAGGGGAGTTTCTCCATCTCAACATGCTGAATATAACCAATTTTTTTAGAACTAATCCAAATTTTGTTAGAAAATTTTTTAGTAATTCCTAGCTCGACTAACGCACGCTCAACAGGGTGATGGGAGTCAATACAGGTCGTATGATCCACCTTAAGCGAATACGGGGGAAAAGTGAGTATGCAAGTTACTGAAAGAAATCCAAATTGGTATGACAGGGGACTCCAAACCTATATCTAAAAGAGGAGATCATTTGGTCAACTTCACATAACATCTGATAACAAAGTAGGATCTATGAGAGAAAACTCTGATATAGTCTAGGTCATTCACCAACTTAATCAACACATGTGAATGATTCAACAAATAATTGTCATTAAGCTTAAGAGCGAAGAAAATTTTCTAAATGGCATCAAGACTCAGATGGCGAGAGGGAAAGAAACCAACCAACACAAACTTTAAAGGAGCAGCAAGCACGAAAACTTCTTCATCTGAAATCCAGAGGGAAGGCAAATCTAGAAAGGTAGAAGGCTTGAGATCTGGAAAACAATCATTAGAGGAAAGACTATGCAAGGTATCTACAAAAGATCAAGATTTAGTCGACCCATCCAAAAAATTAGGGTCAACCCATGGATTCATTGCCATTCTGGCCACAAGGACCGAAGGTGGATGAATTAGGAAACAAAATGAGAAATTTACACAAAAACTAAACTAAAATGGAGGAAGCAGAGAAACTTTCCTAAGGGTGCCGACACGCCAGGCGGTGGCCAAAGCCACAGAGAAACGAAGCAAGCCTTGCGCCACAAAAAGTGAGGTGGTGACCAGCCAATCGTTAGCATTGTTAGAAACTATACCTAATTTTAAATTTTCTTTTTTATATATTTATTTTAGTAATATAAATATTAGCATATCTTTTAATAAAATATGTCCATTAGACAAATAGAAGTATTGACTTGAATAAAAATAAATAAATTTTATTTTCTCATATTATTCTTCCCAATAATAAAAGCTATGAATAACATTCTTTGACACTAGTACAAATGAGAATAAGTTGGAATAAAGAGCAAGAAAGTTTAGACTTTTTGAGTTAAGGACATCTTCAATCGAACGTCATTCACCAATTATAAGCTCAACCCCTTATTTTCATGATAAAAAAATTTGAATCATACAAGAAGTTTTCCTCAACTTATTGTCCCTAATAAATTTTGTTAATATCAAGATTTCGTTTGGGACAACTTTGGACCACTCTTTTTTTGTTATTTTCAAGAAATTTTTATAATAAAAAATTACTTTGAAAAATAATAATAAAAATTGTCTCAAATGATGTCTAAGAGCATCTCCAACCGAAAATCCCATTTTCACTCTAAAATGCAGTGAAACTAAAAAATGTCATGATTCATCTTCAATCGAACTCCATTTTGCGCACTTCTGCGAATGTAGCCATCTTTCTCCTCTTTCGCGCGTTTCTTCGGCAAATCCGGTTGAGATAGAAAAATCGCATACGTGAACAGTGCAACATCAATATTGACGTCGCACTGTTCACCCGCAAGCAAATGACGGAAGATTGGACATTCAACTGGAGCGTCCGAATGACGTCATACACATATTTGACGTTCAGCTGGAGATGCTCTAAGCTTTTAACCTTGTTTATATAATAATAATAATAATATGACCTATCCTCACAAGTAAAATTTTGAATCCAACCCAACACATCACAACAAAACACACTGTGATACCCCCACCAACATTTACTGATTCCCAAGTCGCGGCAAAAACAATAAAATAAAAGAAAATAAGTGTAACATTTTTTTTTTTTTTTTTTTCCATTCAAAATATGCACAGATATGCACCAATAGGGCCGAAGGAAAATGTTGGCTGGGGAGTTCAACCACCACCTACCCTCTCCTCCTTGTCCAACAAACGATTTTAATGAAACAATGAATTAATTTATTTCTCCCTATACTCCCCTAATTTCCTCTCCCCCATTTCCCTCCATTCCATCGAGCCTACCCCACAATCCCCACTTAAAAGCTTCCTCTCCCTCTTCCTCAGACCTGGCTAGCTTCCACATGTTCGAAGCCTCGCTCATTCCGAAATGCCATTATGATTCGTTTGGAAGTGAAAAGAGGAGGAGCGGCGGCGAGGTCGGCGGTGGCGATGGTGGGGAGGTTGGTGAACGAAGTGGTGAGCTTTGTTTTGTTCTCCGCGCTTGACCTTCTTGATGCTGTGCTGTGCTTGGTCTTCAAGCTGGTCGATTACGCCTTCGAGTCCAAGTGGAAGCCCTGCTACTGCTCCTCGTCGGCCCGAGAGATGATCACCAGCAGCGGCAACATACTCATCTCCGAAAGCGGAAAGTCGAAAATAGTCTTCCTTTCTTCAACAAAGCTTCATCTGGAGGAGATCTCGGATACTCTCTACTCGCGGCCTCCTCTCCTGTTCGACATCTCTCGCTCCACCATGACGGATCTTCGCAGCCTCGGCTTTCTAAGGAGAAGTGACGGTGCGGCGGCGCTTGCTGCAGCGGCAACTGCGAAGAGAGTCAGAAAAAGTACCACTGCTTTAACCATCAATTCTGCCATTGTGGAGATGCTGCAGGGCAAGATCGGCGGGAAGCAGAGTCAGCCCGTCCCTCGCTGGTCGGACTGCGCCTGCAAGCGGTGCTCTGGCTGGTGCTTGGCACCTTCTTCCTCCCGCGTCCTCCTCTACGCGCACTCACAGTTCCCTCCAGGTTTTCTGAATTCAAGCTCTGACATTTTTTACTCCGATTGATTTCCATCTTCACTTATCAAAATCAAAATCAAATTTTTTTAATCTGTTTTTAAATTAAAATTATTTTGAAATAATTACGTTTAATTTATGTTCGTCGGTCAACTTTAAACGGATGACCAGAATCTGTAATTGAATGTTATCGTGACAGTTGATGATCAAATCTATTTAATAACATCTTTATGTAGAAAGAGTGGATGTTGACTCCACATCTTTTTTTGCTTCGGCACTCTATTAATGCACGATATGACACATTAAAGTTATTGTTTTCTAAAATTATTTTAGTTAATATTTGGATTAATGTTACATATTTTTTAATCAATCATCCCAAAATTATTTTTTGAAATTGTTGGATCTAATTATTTAATATTTTTTATTCATATTCAGAACTTATTAACATCAACTCAATTTTTTTTGGATTTAATATTTATTGAATCAATTTATCACATTTATTACCAAAAGGTTTTTTTGAAGGAAGTCAATATAATGCATCAAATGTTAAAATGATCATTTTTATATCAAATTATTTAACATTTTTAACTTAATTCTTAATTTTTTAATTTGATTCAAAATATTCTATTAACTGCTGAGTCTATTTGAAATGACTATAGTTACTATGGTTATAAAAAATATTTTTTATCACAAAAATTTAAAAAATTAGTTAAAAAATAATTGCCAAATTAATTTATGAACTTAAAAGATAAAATAAAGCAGTAAAAAGTTATCCTGAAATTAAATAAATTAGATGACAGAGGATAAAATAGTTATAAACAAATAATTTAAAGATAATAATGACTTTCTTTTTTTACACTGTATGAAATTTATTGAATGAACAAGCATTAATATATCACAAAATATATTATCAAATCCAGCGAGTCGGATTAAATTCGACCGGTGCTATTTAATGGGGAACCCGATTAAATATATCATAAAATGCATTGCATTGTGATTGTGCAGATGGGGCAGCGGTGGAAGATGTGCTGTTCATCCATGGATTCATATCGTCGTCATCTTTCTGGACGGAGACGGTTTTCCCCAACTTCTCCGACACGGCGAAATCGAGGTACAGGTTGTTTGCGATGGATTTGCTTGGATTTGGGCGGAGCCCTAAGCCGGCGGACTCACTGTACACGCTGCGGGAGCACGTCGACATGATCGAACGGTCCGTTTTGCAGCGGCACGGTGTGCGGTCCTTCCACATTGTAGCTCACTCGCTCGGATCCATCCTTGCGCTCGCCCTTGCTGTCAAGTACCCCGACGCCGTTAGGTCTCTCACGCTTCTCGCACCGGTATAATACTGCTCTCACTATTAAAACGTTTGAGCGGCGGCGACTTGCAAGTATATGCCAGTTGGGTGTAATGCAGCCTCCTCAAATCAGCCTATATGAACCAAAAGTATAATTAATATTAAAAATTTAAAAAGAATTTAAAAATTTTCATGCATGTTTTTTATGTGATGTGATTAATATATTAAATGGTTATCATCTTCATATCACTGTATGTCGTCAGCCATTCGCTGCATTTGAACTCTAAATTTCACACCAAAATTCAGTAGGTGAACACTGCGACGCCAACGCCAATATTGATGTCGCGATATTCACCTACGCCAAAAAATTGCTTTGTGAATTTGTCGAAGAAGCATGCAAAAGATGCGAAAATAGGAGAGAGATGATTACCCTCACAGGAAGCGCGAGAAAGAGGAGAGAAATGGAGTTGAGCTGGAGATGAATTACGTTATTTTGAAGTTTTACTGTATTTTAACCATCTCCAACCGAAAATCTCATTTTTCACTTCAAAATGCCGTGATTCATCCAATTGAACTCCAATTTTGCGAAGATAATGCTCTTTCTTCTTTTCACGCGTTTCTTCGGCAAGTTAGGTAGAGGCAGAAAAATAGCTGAGATGAACAGTGCAACATCAATATTGGCGTCCCACTGTTCACCGGCAAGCAAATAGCGGAAGTTTTATCGTTCCGCTGGAGCTCTGCAGCAACACCATTCAAGCGTTTGGAATTTGGTAGATGTCTGCTACATTTTATGATGAAAAAAAAAAGCTTTTGGAATTTGGAGGTGCTCTTTTAGAGCGGAAAATGAGTTTTTCCGTTGGAGATGCACTAAGTAAATATTTAAATTTAGATGTTAAATATGCAATGACATAAAAATTTTATAATATAAATACCTCTTAATTTTATTGTATTGTTAACATATAAAATTAATGTATAATAAAATTATTCTAGTCTCACATAAAACTTAATTGAATATCCTGCTAGCATATTTTTTTGTTTTGTCCAGATCATTTTTTTCTAATGGTAAATTTATAGTGCAGCCCTATTTTCCAGTGCCGAAGGGGGAGCAGGGAACGCAATACGTGTTGAGACGGGTGGCGCAACGAAGGGTGTGGCCGTTGATTTCATTGGGTGCGTCCGTGGCTTGTTGGTATGAGCACATAAGTCGCACAGTTAGCCTCCTCATGTGCAAGCATCACCTCTTTTGGGAGTTTATCTTTCGCTTCTTTACTCGCAATAGGTATTCCCCTTCAACTATTTCTTTCAAATTTGGACTTCTCCTATAGCTTACCTTGTTTCCCCCATTCAGGGGCGGATCCAAATTCTTTTTTCAGGGTGGACAAAATTTTTTTTTTAAAATGGGAGATGGGCAAAGATGCTTAGGATGGATAAAATTATGGCAAAATTTTTTTTAAAGAGAGGACAAAATACCCAAAATACTCAAAATATTCTAAAATATATCATCTAAATTTTTTTTTAAAAAAGATTTTAAGGGTGGGCATTTGCTCTCCTTCAATCCAATGGGGATCCGCCCATGCCCCCATCTACCCATCTATCACCATTGAAAACAAAATTTGCGTTAAAATATTCAGATGAAATTTGTGTTATGATTGCTTAAAAGCCATTAATTTTAGGGGATGTTTGGTAGCACTTAGAGTTTTTCCGTTGGAGATGCACTAAGTAAATATTTAAATTTAGATGTTAAATATGCAATGACATAAAAATTTTATAATATAAATACCTCTTAATTTTATTGTATTGTTAACATATAAAATTAATGTATAATAAAATTATTCTAGTCTCACATAAAACTTAATTGAATATCCTGCTAGCATATTTTTTTGTTTTGTCCAGATCATTTTTTTCTAATGGTAAATTTATAGTGCAGCCCTATTTTCCAGTGCCGAAGGGGGAGCAGGGAACGCAATACGTGTTGAGACGGGTGGCGCAACGAAGGGTGTGGCCGTTGATTTCATTGGGTGCGTCCGTGGCTTGTTGGTATGAGCACATAAGTCGCACAGTTAGCCTCCTCATGTGCAAGCACCACCTCTTTTGGGAGTTTATCTTTCGCTTCTTTACTCGCAATAGGTATTCCCCTTCAACTATTTCTTTCAAATTTGGACTTCACTTATAGCTTATCTTGTTTCCCCATTCAGGGACGGATCCAGCTTCTTTTTTCAGTGTAGGCAAAAAAAATTTTTTTTGGTGGGAGATGGGCAAAGACTCTTAGGATGGATAAAATTATGACAAATTTTTTTTTAAAGAGAGGGCAAAATACCCAAAATACTCAAAATATTCTAAAATATATCATCTAAATTTTTTTAAAAAAAATTTTAAGGGTGGGCATTTGTTCCCCCTCAATCCAATGGGGATCCGCCCATGCCCCCATCTATCACCATTGAAAAAAAAATTTGCGTAAAAATATTCAGATGAAATTTGTGTTATGATTGCTTAAAAGCTATTAATTTTAGGGGCTGTTTGGTAGCACCTAGGATTTGATTTAAGTAGAATTTCATAAATTATCTAAATTTGGATTTCGGAAATCTTGAGGGGTCTAAATCTTAAAAACTGTTTGTTGTTAATTCATGATAAATCATAGTAAATCGAGTGTGTTTGTTTGGCTACAAAGAGGATTAAACGAGCGGACTATTCCTCTCAAGTCAATGGGTTTCGTAAATCCGATAAAAAAATAGTATTTCAAAAATCTGGGATTTAGCTCGAAAAGGCAAAAATTTTTGTCTACGGAGGCTTTCATTTGCCGTGAGATTTGGTTTTGCATTTTAGACTGTTTGGTTGGATTTCGCTCAAATTTGGCCTATATCCTACTACCAAACAACCCCTTAGCATAAATACAACGACTATTAAATTTGTTATGATATAATGACAATTTAGCGCAAATATTTATTCTTCACGCTTAGTTCCTAACTTATTTCTCCTTTTAGCTTCTTTCGAATATGGAAAAGGCATATTTGGGTTATCTTCTACTCCAAATTGGAGTAAACGTTAATATAGTTTTTAGGGTAGATTAATGTGTTCAAAGTCTAACTGCATGTCCTGCCTATTCAAGAAAATGCTATGAGGAAATGATAGTCTGCCTCTACAATTATTTGTAACAGGACTGACATAATAAATTACAACAAATAGGGAAATGGCCAGCCAAGAAGCCATGATATAAATGTTATGTGGGGCAAGAAGGCAATCAGGGCAGCTGTATGGCCTGGAAATCAACCACTATTTTTTTTTTCTTTTATTTTTCAGCGATTTAAATCTCAAACTCATATATCATATGATTCAAATCAATAACCTCTTAGACATAAGCTCTCGATCAATAGATTAAGAACTCATTTGGGATGATTTTCTTATTGCTTTTTAAATCTATTTTTTAGTATCTTCTAAAAAATTGTTTTAAGAAGTAGTAAGAAAACCGTCCCAAACGAAGCCTAAGATTTCATTTGTGATAGCTTTTAACCATTTTTATTTTGTTATTTTCAAACAAAAAAAATTGTACTAAAAACAATTGTAGAAAATATCAAAAAAATTATCCTAAATTAAGTCTAAGATGGGCTGCAACAATCATAGATTCTCTCACAGTAAAAAGATTTTCTCAAAATTTGACAGAATTATATAATGTTTTAAATGAAAACCAGTCGTCAAAGTTCGACAAAACAGATCACAAAAAATAAATGTCAAAATTACGTAACCTTCGAACCAAAAACCATTACCAATACTATTTAGTTTCATCGTCATTTTTAAAATTAGGTAGATGACTCTAAACTTCGAGTCAATTTGGAGTAATTTTTTTATTATCACTAGTTTTAGATTGATATGACATGCACTCATTTGACTAATATTTTTTGTAAGTTCTTAGAAATGATAGAAAGAATTTTTTACAATCTATAAAAAAGTTTACATTCAACTTCATTAAAAAGAAAATATTTATAATAATTACAGTAATTTTTAATAAATTTATTTACTTCATAACAATTTGGCAATGAGATCTATTTATGATAATTTTTCACTTTTTTGCTTTAAGAATATAGAAAAAATTTTATTTGGCTATTTCTTTTTTATTGTTTTGCATATATTCTAATGATGTAAATAACTTTTTATAATCAAATATGTTAAAATTTATTAGTTAGAAGAAAATGAATATTTAATAAGTAATAATTAATGAAAAATCTTAATTTTCTTATTATTCTTCATAATTATTTTTCATGTGACAAACATGAAGTTAGTAACAATTTTAAGTGATGTGGGAACAGGATAAGGACGTTTCTAATGGAAGGGTTCTTCTGCCACACGCACAACGCCGCATGGCATACACTCCACAACGTCATCTGCGGGACGGCGGGGAAGATCGAGGGCTACTTGGATACAGTAAGGGACAGAATGCCGTCTTGCGCCGTTACGATTCTCCATGGCACGGACGATGACCTGCTCCCCGTCAGCTGCAGCTCCGCCGTCAAGGCCAGGATCCCGCGGGCGGATCTCCGGGTCATCGACGGCAAGGATCACATCACCATCGTCGTCGGACGGCAGAAAGCCTTCGCCCGGGAGCTCGAGCTGATCTGGGAAGCCGCGAATCTCAAAGCAAAATGAAATCCTTTATTATTATTTTTTCCCTCTCTTTCTTTTTTGTTCATTATGATTTTCTTCCACTGATTCGGAAATGATAAAGCTGATGGTTCCATCTATTCTTTCCTGTGTTGGACGCTGGCTGATAAATTAGATCGCCAAAAGAGGTTTATATGGTAGTAAATTATTTGTACCGTTTCTACTGCTCTGTTTCCTTTGGTCTTTGTATTATTATTATTATATATATATATATATATTTGTTTTGGTAAAAAATCGGTTCAAAGTGTAATATAATACTGTGAATTTGATTATTTTTTAATTAATATTTAACTTTCTTTATTTATAATAGAAACAAAATTAATATTAGATAGATTGATAAAAAAAATTCTTACAAAGGATCTTATAATTTTTTATTAGTAAAATTATAAGTAATTAGTATTATGTTAATATTAAAATTTTGTATTAGGATATCTTGATTAAAATTTAAATTATTATAGGTCTCAAAATGCATTATATTTTGTTTATATACAATTCAAATAATCCAACATGACACTTCATTTTTTGGGGCTAGATTTTTATTTTGTAAATAATAAAGTTCCAAATATATATGTGTAATTTTTTTTTATTTCACTCAATAAAAATAGATTTACTTTATATTTTTTTATTACAAATATTCCTCAACTTGATTAAAAAACTTTTCTCTTGAACATTTTAAATGGAAAAATATAATTTTGATGCAAAAAAAATCAAAACATTAACCACTATAAAATAAAAAAAAGCAGATAACTTAATTAGCATTAACAAATCCAAGAAATTTATTTCATAAACGTTTATTGTTATCATAAATCTTCTCATATCAAATTGCCCGAATAAAATCTAATTAACGTTTCATTTGGTTTTCTAAATAATTTTATTATACCAATTTTTTTTAATTAAAAATTTTTATTCTAAAAAATTATTTTAAAAAATAATAAGAAAATTATTTCAATTCGCGCGAGCATAAGCTGTAAGCGACCGAATTGAATTTGATCTGAGCATGATTTGAATTGAAAATTCACAGCTCAGAGGCTTCAGGAAAGAGATTTATAATGAAAGACTCGTTGCAGGACGGGAGGAGTTAATATATTACATTTAATGTCAGAAATAATTAAATATGTTCTATAAATGAAAGTATGACTTATGTACTGAAAGGCACTAAAGAGAGGGGACCCGCTCTCACATGATCGGACTGTGGATCCAAAGAACTCGGTGCTTGGTGGAGTTAGGACTTATCTGTTTATGTTTGTGAATGTGACTGTTATTTTCTGAAATAATGTTATTATGTGTATTAAGAGGGGATTTGTCTTTATTTATTTATTTTGTTTGAAGTTAAAAGAATTTAGTGTAAAGTTTAATCATGATGATGACTGACAGTGCTACTAAAAAATAATGAGTGGTAGACAGTGGTTAACAGCGATGGCGGACTGTGATGGTAGACAATTGTAGTTAATGACAGAGAATTTACAATGTATTTAGAAATCAGTCAAAACTACTGATTTCAAAATGCATGGCGAATGTCAAAATTTTCAATTAATTACTCTGCTATTTGAATTGCACTCACACAAATACTTAGGTTTCGTTTGAGACAACTTTCTTATTGCTTCTTAAATCAATTTTTTAGTATTAAAAATTTAATTTTTATACTAAAAAACTCATTTAATAAGCATTAAGAAAGCCGTCCCAAACAAAGCCATAGTTTCTTGGAATGCATTATACAATGGTAAAAAAGGAAAATACAACATAGCACTCAAAAGTAGGTGCGTTGTTGTTAAATTTTGAAGGAAAAATAATTCTATGATATCATAGCATAATTTTTTTGTCCAAATGGAAATAGCTACCTTTGAATTTATGTTGAGATTAATGCTATGTCACTGATCTATTGCACTAATTGAAGGGAAACATTAACAGACTATAAGGGCGACTCGAAATGGATTATTTTATAAATCTTCTCTTTAAATGAAAGGACCTTAAAGAAGGTAAAAAAAATGATGTTAACCAGAGCCATTAGCCCAAATGGACATTTTTTTTTCAATGTATTGCCTAAACTTAGTGCTGGTCGAAAGAGCGGTAAAGGAGAAAACCTCATAAGATATCTTTACGACTCATAGTTATAATCATACCACAAAGCTAATGTGTACACAACAAATAAATCAATACAACTAATCAACATTGATATAATAGCAACTAAAGTTCTATCATATGACTTATTCATTTTTTTCGCACATAAATTTTTATAATGCCTAACCTAGATCTCCACCTATAAGTAAAAGATCAAAGATTTTTTTTTTGGAAACGGGGGTATCTACCCACTGCCACCCTATAGAAGGTGCATAACGGCGTAGCTAATCCCTCAGCGAGCTTACCAACAACTAGCCCCACATATACAAAACTTATAATAAGGATCAGAAAATCAGTTAAGCTCATTTGAATCATTTTCTCAACTATTGTACTTCTGACATTTTCTTAAATAATATATTTCTGAAAATTTTCTAAGAATAATGTACGAAATCACACTTTATTCTCTTAAGTCTGTCTTTCTCCTTTTTAGTGCCTCTTTTTTTTTGGGACATTTAGGTCATTTAAGGCAAACTCATACACACAACGCATACACATAGACTCGAACCCTGAACCTCTTAGTTGGAAGCATAAGCTTTCAACCAATAGGCCAAGTAGAATTGTGTAGTGCCTCTTTTCACTTAGCCATTTTTGATGGCACGAAACCAACATTTTTGAGTGAACCCAATCTTCAATAATTTGCCACTTCTTCATTTGTTGCAAGTGGCAACCTTTATTGCCGCTGAGAATTTTTTATTGATTTTTTGCTCTGTTTGGGTTGATTTGATGGGATACTATCCCACCTAGATCTCTTGAATGATTCCCCAATAAAAAAAAAATTCTTAAGCAATTAAAAAAAAAAGAAGTTTCTTCTGCGTAATATTATCCTCGAATGGATTAGGTCGGCCTGTACAATCATAATGATGTTGGTGTGGTAAGGGAACTTAGCAAAACCCTTCCAAAAAACTGACACAAATCCCAAACCGGCGCCGCGACGTCTGTTGATCACCGGAGTAAAATTCAACGTCGGTGTTTTCGGGAGTCACTTAAGCCAAGAGACTGGCCGCTGAGATCTGGAAGCGTTTGTTCCGCTCGAGACGACGGACGCATCCTGGTTTGCGACCGGAAATTCTTAATTTAGGGCGGAGGAGGATTCCGGCGGCCGGCATGGGCGATTGCTGCCGCGATGCCCAGCCTTTCCGCCTATGTTCTGGTCTCCGCTTTCTTGGCTACATCATGATCCTGCTCGTTTTTGCCATCGTCGCTGTCTCCTATTATGCTGTCATCGTCGTCGCCTGGGGTCCTCAGCTCTTACACGGCGGCCTCCTTTCCATCCTGGCCTTCGTCATCGTCTTGCTCTTCCATTTACTGGTTCAGAAGCTAAATCTATTATTTATCACTTTTTTGCACAGCTTTTTAAATCAAGTGGATATCTTCTTAGGAAAACTTTTGGTGATGGCTGCTTCTGTTTAGAATTTAGATGGTAGGTGATAGGACTTCAGCTTTTGCAACTTAGAGTTGCTGGATTACAATAATTTGGGTGGTGGTCAATCATCTACAATGTGATGTAGTGTATAGTTTTATGATGGCTGAAGTGAAGTGTTGTAAGGCAACTCTACCCCTTGTAAATAGGAAATCCAATTTGAAGGTATGTCCAGAAATAGTACAGATATTGCTCAAGTCAGCCATTGGTAGCCTCCATTTCACCATCTTATTGTGAGTGATAAGAGCTATCGAGATTAAGTTGAGTGCCATAAGTTGAAATATATCTTTTCAAAAGGAGCTTACAAATATGGGATCATGATCACTAAAATTGTCTTTGAAAATCTATGAAGTCTAGTTATGTCTATAAAAAATTTGGGCAACCTTAGTTGACGTGAAACCAACAAATAGAGTAAAGAAATGAGCATATAAGCATATTTGGGCAGGCCATCCTTGACAACCATAATGCAAGTCTTCCTATTGGTTGAAGAAGACACACAATAAAATCAAGCGATATGTCTTCACAAATTGCATTTGGTGCTTTTAGAGGTTGTCATAAGCTTGTTGTACATTTCATTTTTAGATTTGACGTGCTAACAAATTGGAAAAGGTTGATACCATCCTTAATTTGGGGACACTAGAACTGAGCTTAAATAATACGATCACATCGTAATATTAATCCTTCCTGAAGAACATAATCAGAGTATTTTCTTGATTCAGTAGAGATATTTCAACTAAAATATGTAATTCTTACAATCATGTTGTTTGAGTCCTCAACTTGTCCAACAAAGAATGAAGTACTTTAGAACCTCATTCTGAACTTTCAGGAAACGCCAGGAACTCACAGAAGAGAGAAGAAGAAGAGGAGAAAGGGGAAAAGGAGATTCCTCACCTCCTCGACCACCGCCGAAACTCTTCCTGCCGCCTGAAGACGCCGGAACTCTGCCGGATTTTCGAGAAACGCCAGGAATTCACAGAAATTTTGTAAACTCACTGGAAGAAACAAATTGTATTCTGATTATCCCAACTTGTGGGACGAATCAGTCATCTGTAATCTGTAAAATCACTAGTGGAACTTCACAACTGGGCGAGGCCCCGTGGTTTTTTCCCTTTTTGGATTTTCCACGTAAAAAATTTTGGTATTCACTCCTCTTTTCTGTTTGTGTGTTAAACTTACGTGCAACGCTCGGACGCGAATTTAGAAACTCTACCGCCGCGTATTTTCTGACACGCAACAAGTGCCATAAGTTGAAATATATCTTTTCAAAAGGAGCTTACAAATATGTGATCATGATCACTAAAATTGTCTTTGAAAATCTATGAAGTCTAGTTATGTCTATAAAAAAATTTGGGCAACCTTAGTTGCCGTGAAACCAACAAATAGTGTAAAGAAATGAGCATATAAGCATATTTGGGCAGGCTATCCTTGACAACCATAATGCAAGTCTTCCTATTGGATGAAGAAGACACACAATAAAATCAAGCGATATGTCTTCACAAATTGCATTTGGTGCTTTTAGAGGTTGTCGTAAGCTTGTTGTACATTTCATTTTTAGATTTGACATGCTAACAAATTGGAAAAGGTTGATATCATCCTTAATTCGGGGACACTAGAACTGAGCATAAATACAAGTTAACATGTGCCTGAAAACTCTAGGCCTTATGATCGGAGTAGAATAAAATTCCGTCATCAGTGAAATCTTTAGATCCAATGTTGGAGACAAAATAATCATAATATTAATCCTTCCCGAAGAACATAATCAGAGTATTTTCTTGATTCAGTAGAGATATTTCAACTAAAATATGTAATTCTTACAATCATGTTGTTTGAGTTCTCAACTTGTCCAACAAAGAATGAAGTACTTTAGAATATGCCAAAATAGAGCAAATAGTTTTTATCAATTTGGCTCCAACAAATAGCAATTATGTTGTTATATGGGTAATCTTGCGCTATCTAGATGAGGCGTCGACCATCCAATTATTGGCCCCCAGTTTATACTCGTTATTGAAGTCTAAACCAAGAAGCTTAACTAGAGACCTCTATTGTTTATGCATTTGCATGACCCGATGCATCAGTCCCTTACTACTTTGTTGATTTGTTCGAATTGTAAATTTTCCACCCAGTAAATATTGGATCCATTTGGAGGTTGCTTCGATGATTTCATATAACTCATGAACATAAGCTGACATAAGTTTGCATTCTAGGACATGGTTTTTTGTTGAAAAATAAAATGGAATGAGAATCTTGAGTTAAAACTGTTTCAATGCCCATTTTGAGTGCATATGTTTCAATAAAAAAATGATTAGAAAAATAAGGAAAATGTAACATAGGTGCATAAGGTAACACATTTTTTAGTGCAAGGAATGCTTGAGCCACTCGATAATTCCACTAAGAAGCATCTCACTTTAGCATATTGGTAAAGGTCTTTCAATATTGGCAAAATTGTGAATAAAAGATCTACAATATCTAGATAAACCTAAAAACAACGTAATTGTTTAAGAGGCTAAGACCAAGCTAAGATACATCAATCTTTAACGTGTTAGTGGTAATGTTGAATGGAGTGACAATGCTGGCCCACATGCTCAGTATTAGAATAGGCTTGAAAACACATTTGGTCATCTTTATTAATAGTTGTGTGCTTATAAATTCCAAAATGGTCCAAAAGTGTCTAACATGGTCTGAAAAAGAACTTGCTATAAACAAGTATGCCATTGAAAATACCTAAGACATAATGGCACAACTAAGTTTTGAGATTGATATTTATAATTACATGGAAAGTAGCGGATGCATTAGGCAAGCCAAATGACAACTAGAAACTTTTAGTACCTTTCATGCATTCGAACAATTGCCTTAGAAATATCTCTTTTATCCACTCATATTTAATGGTAAACATCAAGTAAATCCAACTTTTAATAAAAGATAATAACAAAACGGTCATCTGAAAGTTCACCATTGTTGGTATGGAAAATACGTTTGTCACTGACCTCCATATGTTAATTTTCTTTTTAACTAGTATTTATCACAATGAGAAAGGATAGTGATTGGGATGGATGATACTCAAAATCTGCATTTCTTGAACCAGATACTCAATTGCAAATTTTTGATAATAAGGTTTTCGATCTGGTATCCCATGTAAAGGTTTGGAATCTGGTTGCACTTGCATATTTATGTGATGATTAATATCATATTGTGAAGGTAAAGTGGTTTTTATGGTGCGTACATAATATTCTGATAGGAAATACTTGATTCCAAGTATTTCCTAATCACTTTAGCCAAAGATCTCACAGCAAAACTGCTGTCCACAGCAGGAAATCAGCCAAACAGTGGGAAAAACACGAGAAAAATTAGCATATTGGTAAAGGTCTTGCAATATTGACATACATAATATTCCTCTTAAGTTTTGCATTTCTAGAGGAGAGTTAGGTAGATGAATAAGAAGAGTATTTGCTTCATATGTATCCAACAACAACAGATGGGATCCTAATATTTGTGATTGAGTATAAAGCAATTTTTTTAGCTCGATTAAAAGGAAGGGGGCTAGGAAGAGCTGTCTAAAAACCTTGCAATAAGACAAATTTATCATTCCATTCAAATTTCATAATAAGGTCGCCATAATTGGTTAGTATATTCCATAAAACTTCAAACCATTTAACATCAAGCACAAAAATGACTTGGAATTTGTAGTATATAACAATCAATATATAAATCATATCCTTGCATTGTGATGGGTAGCTTTGGACACCTACCCGAACACAACTAGGAATCACCATTTACAATCATTACTATAAAAGGCTTGGAAGGAAAACAATTATTAGTGAATCTTTAGCTAGGTCTTCTTGGATAACATTACGAGTAGAACTAGCTTTAACCAAGATTGGAACATCGTGATTGCTTATGCAACCTTGAACTGAAAAGAAAGAGGGGAATGCTACCTAGCCAAGGCATGACCATTGATTTCTTGTCTAATTTTATCCTTGTTTTCATCATTATGAGTGACGTTATGCAGTTTCAACAGATTATTTTTTTCATCAAGAGTCAAATAAAAAGTTTTCTAGTTAATAAGCAATATATGTAGTTTTTCTTTGCAAACATGGTTTTGGAGAAACTTTTCTGTCACAATTATAACGTAGACGTTTTTCACAATGATCCATCATTTGTTTTGCAGTTCTTTTCTTTACGGTTATAACAAATTTGAGTTTATAAATGGTTTGAAGGTGTGGGTAACAAACTCAACAATGGATAGGAAAGTATGATAAAACTATTTTTGTTGGCTCAATGCGGCTAACCTCCATTACTTTTGCCAGTTTGTTGCTTGAACTAATTAGGTTGGCTCAAATGCTCTTAATTCACATTGAATATTGGGGAGTAATCCAAATGCAAAAGAACTTTGCAAGGAAGATTTGGAAAGTCCAAAAACATCAAAAGTACTCAAAGCAGTGAGGGTAAATCACCTGTATATGTTGGCTGCAATAGTTTAAGAAGTTCATCTTGCAAATCCTGATATTGAGGACTAAAATGCCGAAGTTTTGTGTGAAGTCTTGCTGAGAAGATGATGGATGTTTCTTTTCTAACCAATGAATCCAATAGTGGCTTAGCCCTTACATGTAGAAAGAAGAAATAGAGATATATTGGCTTTTTCAAGAAAGTGAAGTACTGGTTTTCCTTCTTGATCCAATCGGGAGGATGTACTCTATTGAATCAAGGAAGAGATAGTTTGATTGCCTTTAAATAATGCAACATTGGTACTAGAAGAAGTAGGTATAACAGAAGGAGCTAGGCCCAAAGAAGAAGAGTTGTTTGTTGTTGTCGTCAGATAAGTGTAGTGGATGATCTGCTCTAGGCAGCTTTCAATATTCTGCATTTTCAAACAAATTTCCCTCCACACACTTGTTGATTCTGCTAGCTGCTACACGAAATTTTTTTATTCATGTACGACAATCGTCTGCCAAATGAGTGGTAGCATGAGCGCTTTCCTCGATCAATTTGGTCAAGACATTTTTGGAGTTCTTTGGAGATTCCTATTGAAATCATTGATGATGTTGCCACTGTTGTGGCACACGGAATGATCAGTGGATGAAAGATAGGTGGGCACTGATTATGATATGACTCCAGCCTTAGCAACTTAGACTTGCTGCTGCCAACAAACATCGAAAATGAAAAACAAGAAAAATAGAGAAGAAAGAAGGGAAGCAAGAAGGGAGGAGGGAGAGTGTGTAGAGAAAACTCATTAGTGTCACCAATGCAACTATTTAAAGAATTCCTAAGTTTGTTATGAAATTAGTTCGATTCCTGGGATCCACATCTGATCCTCCTTTACTTGGTGCCCTATCGGACACTATGTGGCTGAGTGGAAAGTCGACAAGGTTTCGTCTGCAAGCCGATGTTGCCATTAAGATTTGTACTAGTAGGATTATTGAATGGTTGTCCTTCCATGTGCTAAAGGGGAAGTTGGGGTACTTTGTATTGCATAGAATGGTTTAGGAGCTATATCTTATATATGTTGAGAATTAAAGCTAGATGCAATTGAAAAGTTACATGGAATTTTAACATTGCAACATCTAGCCTTGATTTTAGATGATTATGATTATAATTTAGAAGCATGTGTACAAGCTCATAATTGATTGAGAGAGGCATTAGGAATTTGATTATGACACTCTATCTTTTGTTATGAATAAGATTGTTGATGCGTAAAAGCAAAATTCTGTGTAAAAATGTTTTAGCTTTGAAGTTTGAAATGCAAATAAACCCACCAAGGCTTTAGGGTGGTTGGTGGGCGAGTACGGTTGGGAACCCCCCATTTCAGGTTCAAATCCCCTCTACAGTGGGGCAAAGCAAGTGTGGGCTGATGTCGGTGGGTGGCCTCGCTAGGTTCCGCCGAGGGATTAGTTACGCTGCCAAGCGTTTTGTTTACCCCTGTTCCCAAAAACAAAAAAAAAAAATGCAAATAATGCACTTGCTTCAACTAATTGAAACACATATATCACATGTAACATTACATTGCATTATTCTATTTAACAACCCTCTTATAAATCAAAATGATGAAATGATCTATGGTGTTTTAAGTCAAATATTAATAAGCAACTTTATTACTAACTAAGAAATAATAAGGCACACACCTAGTGTGATGAGCAACACATAATATTAACCCATCACTATGCCAGTTTTCTTTTTCACCTAGGAGGGAGTGGAGCACACTTGCGCTTTGCAAAGCAACTTCAAAGCTTTGTTACTTTTTGAGTGTCTTTTGTGTTATAAGCTCTTTTTCTTGGGAGCAATGCACAACCACTACTCCACTCTGTACTGCACTTAAAACTAATGCATCTTTGTGCTTTTAACAGCAATATTGATGAACATGATTTTTGCTTCATGTTTCTGTTTATTAGGTGTAATTTATATGTTAAAGTGTGATGCGGACATCGGCACGAAGATTTGGCGCATCTATCACAGGAGGCGTCGTAAATCGACGGCTCTAATTTACGTTGTCATTTATGATTTATTTTATGAAGTTTAGCTTTTATTTTATGTTATTTCCTGTTCTACCCCTGAGTTAGTTTATTTGAGTGTGGTGGCCCAAGGGGCAATTTTATAATTTCAATTTTTCTCATATTGGGGCCTATAAATAAGGGCCTTAAGCTATTGTAAGAGGATGGTTAATTGATATGAAAAATGTTTTCCACACTTGTGTTCTTTTGGGAGAGAACGAGAGTGAGATTCCTATGGGAAGGAAGCGATGTTGTCACTAGCCGCAGGATGGGTTCGGGCTCGTGATTTGAAGTCCCTTGGGGAAGGGCAACGGATCACCCGTCAGTCTTCGGAAGAGTCCGAGGCTCGCGGTTCTTGTCTTCTATCTTTCGTTTTATCTTTGTCTTGTTCCTTCTTATTGTTTCCCTTAGTCATATTCATCTTCCTCCTCCCCATCTTCGTTTGGCCACCGGATTCACCTCCACCCGAAATTCCACAAATTTTTCCCCATAGCCGCCGGCCACCTTCACCCGATTCCAACCTTTTGGCCGCCGGCTCCAATGCTCTAGCCGCCGGTCAACCTTCCCCTCCTCTCCATCTCCACGTACCATCAAGACTTTCCTAAATTGGTTTGCATATGTTAGGTAACTCTATTAATTATTCAAATTCAAATTTATTTGAATTTGAAATAGTTACTTAATCTATAATCCTTATTTTAGGAAACATGCTTAATCAAAGCCCATTTAAATTTTAAATTAAATTGGGATGATATCTTCATTCCCAAATTTAATTTATTATTTTTAGAAAGCATTGATTGCCTCCATAATTCTCTCCCCTCCCAGTAATGCCGCCGGCCCCATTACTGAATTTTAAATTTATTTGAATTTTAAATTCAAATATGAGAGATCATAAATCCCCTCATTAATTCCCCCTTGCATGCCGCCGGCCCACCTCACCTCCACCTTGGCATTCACTCGTTTTATTTCCTTTTCTCCCTATTTGCTCCAGCCAAAACACTCTTCATCTCTTGGCTCTAAATTAATTTCCAAATCTCTGAGAATAAACATTAAGTTATATTTCTTAATTTCCTCTCAGCTCACCGCTTCCCCCTCAGTGGATTTCCTCAAAATCAGTTCACGGGAGAAGGCAGATTTGGGGAAAGAAATTAATGGGCTAACCTGCTGTTAGCCGAAGCATTCAAGGCCTCCCTTTGGTTACTCCTCTCCCCACTTATTCTCTTCCCAATCAAGCCGATTTCTCCCTGGACTACTTCCTATCAGATTTCTCCCAGATTTTTGAATTTTTCAAAAATCTGAAGTCATATTTCAGATTTTTTGAAAGGGTTTTGGAACTTCTTCCCCATCCCCTCCCAGAATCTAAACTCTCTCAGGTTTTGGGGGAACAAAAGCTGAAATTGTTCTCAAAATTTGGAGGGGAGATCCTCTCCTTTGCAACGCCTCCTACCCGTTCTACATCAAAGTGTCTTTTTATGGTCCAGTTTTGTTAGGTTTTTATTTGGAAGCTCGTTATATTTGTTAGGGTTTTGCCTGTATCAGCTCTTGTTTTTAATGCTATTTGCTGGTGGTGCTGGTTAAAAACGTAAAATTTAACGGCAAGTTTCATTTTAACAAATGTTACGCTTGAACGATCATAATTCAAATTCAAATTAAACTATCGTGAATATATATTTCTTGTTTAATGGTTAACAAAACCTTGATCATGTATCTATGTGAAAATTATGATGAGCAAAAAATTATTTTTCTGTACTATTGCTTGGCTTTCATCATATTAGTTATCAGGATTCTTCTCTGTTCTTTCTGTTTATTTTGAGTAGAAAATATGTCAGGCATTCCAAATTGACATTTTATTTGCGATGACCTGTTTTGTTCATCTATTTGTGTTGCAGCTTGTGTTACTATTATGGAGTTATTTCATGGTAGTTTTTCATGATCCGGGTGCAGTGCCTGTTGGTTGGCAACCTGCTTCAAAAGGAACCTACTCGGCATTAGAAAATTCTGTGATTCTGGCAGATCACATTGCCATTGATACCAGGGAATCAGAATTTTCATCTACAGAGGGATCAGGAAGAAGGCCAAGCATACGTTACTGCAGTCATTGTCAAAACAACAAACCTCCACGCAGCCATCATTGCTCTGTTTGTAAGTGAGAGGTTTATTTTATAGGTGTAATTATTTTGAAGCTAGCATTGTTTCTCAGGTATTTTATCTGAGGGAAATAATTTCTTTTTTACTCTGCAAGGCTTTCTTCATAATTCATTTATTAAAATACCATGAAAAAAATAAATGTATAGTTTTAAGGGTTATAGTAAGATTGCAAGTTCTTAGTACACTTAAATACCATTAGTTTGGTTTTAGCGAGTTTACAAGCTTTAGGGAACATATTCATTTCCAAATAAGAGTTATTATAATTATTGGTTACCATTTTAATATTGATCATATATGTTAGATATTATTAGAAATTTATATTATTTATTCTTTTATTATATTCTTAGGATATCCTCCTTTATTATGCTTTCCTTATTGTTCTATTGTTTGCCTTTATATAGGCATGGTTGTGCTAGCATTAGAGTTATGCAAGTAAAGATGCATCCTTAATAATTTCTATCATAGTTTCGGAGCTAACACTAACTAGAAAAGATGTCCTCTATATATACTCTGTGAGAGATAGATCCTTGAAACACATCATTGGGAAGATGGTAATACTCAACTTGACACGCGATCTTATCAAAGGGATTATGGTGAAGGAAACCAACACCTGAAGATATTGTATCTTTTTCGATAACAATATGTGAACCCACCCCCGTCCGGTCGACTAGCTCACAATCTTGAAGTTAGTCTTGGGTTTTGACATCATATAATGGTGGATAAAAAATTGGAGGATTATGAGGAATCCATGATGAACAGATTAGTGGATGCAGGAGGATCATTGGCAACCAGAAGATGAGGCCTTTACCCATGTCGCTCTTGATCCTACCTATGCTTCGACCTCAGTTTCCATACTGCAAAGCAATGCGATTTCAATTGCCAGTCGAACAACAATGCTTTGCACTCAGCTTCGTTTCAAGTATCTTGACTTGCTTGCTATTATACCATCTCACAATTTAGTCATCTCATAGACATGCCCACATTTCCTATCTCTTGTGATGTCTTTTCATGTCTTCATGTCTATTTCATGCAACTATTCCATCTCCTACGATGGTCTCATCTCTTGTCACCCTGTTGTTTCTCTTGAAGATCATGTGAGGATTCTGTATCATAAAACCTCATCTTTGCCTTATTCGATGAACAATGATTCGTCCTCAATTTTGAAGATCATACAAGCGTCTTGTGAAGATCCCCAAGATCCCTTGAGGATCTTATGAAGATTCCCTGAGGATCCTTAGAAGATCCCTTGAGGATCCTATTTCTCGTGAAAATTTTGTCACATTTATTTCTACAAAGGCTCACCTCGCTTTGATCACTTGTTTTTTTCTCAAATTTCCTAACGAATATGTGGACAATCTATTAAACCGGTCTTGGCTTGGATCTCTTGGTTCTTCTTGGCTTCTTGCACTAAATAAACTCTCAATGCTACTTAATGTACCATTATGAGTTTGTAGGAAGGTGCTAAAGTTATTAGGTTATCGTGTTAATATTCACATATGCTAAATATTTACTAGAAATTCATTGTATTTATTCTTGTAATTTGCTCTCATTATAGAGAATATTATTTTTATTGTATTTTTCCTATTGCTCTATTTTCTTGCTTTTGTATGGACATGCTTGGACTGGTATTATAGTCATTCAAATAAAGATGCAAAGTTTATAATTTTTGTCGATTAGTAGCTCTTTGTTTGATCCTCACATAAGGTTTCATCATAAAAATTAGATTCTTATTAACATAAAGAAGCCCAGATGAGTGGCGGACCTAACTACCCTGCATAGAATACGTGCAAATCTAATATTTAAAAAGAAAATTTTGTTCATATAGGATTTTATAATCAAGTTATGGATTTCTAGTCTTTCAAATACATTGTTTTTGGGGCACCTACACAAGTTGGATTGTTTTGATTCTGGTTTTTACTTGAACCAGGGCTATCTAACTTGGTTATTTCAAATCAGGGCTGGTTGATTTGGACCAGCATTTAATGGGTTTTTATGCCATTTCTCTGGGTTCCTATCTTTTGGGTTTTGATTTAATTTTTTCAACCACGGCCTTCTTTATTTTCATCACTATTCAATTTCAATGGTTTTTTATGTTTGTTCATTCATCCCCTTTCCATTTACATTACAATTGGTGCATCCGGTTTGTGTGTTTGGAAAGTGGAGTTGAGAGGTTAGGCTAGTAAAACTAATAAAAATTCGGTTAAGATGGAGTGTCAAACAGTTTAGTTGTTTTGCCATGATATTAATTGCTTACGAGCAAATGAGATGGGTAGTTTGGGTCTGGCATGGTAAAAAAACTAAGTAGAAAACCAAAATGATGGGCGTTACAGATTCAGATTCTTGACCCTAAACAAATCTTTTTGGTATTCGTTGTTTTGAGCAAGCAACGTCTCAAGAGATTCTTCAAGAGTTGTGGTATTGAAGAGTAGTGTGGGCTCCGAAAATTCGGCCCCGGCCTCCGCTCGCTTTTTCTTTTTATTCGGCGAGGGAGTTTTAACGAACTAAGTTCCGAGATAAATTTTGGAAGGCAGATGGGTTTGTAGATAAGACACTACCCTGAGATTTCGCCCTCATTTTGTGAGGACTTTATGATATGAGTTCTGGTTTCCTATAGGCGCAAGCCCCTATAGTTAATTACCCCTCCCAATAATGAGAGAGAACTTTCGATTAAGGCTAGTCGTCAATCAGATACGTATAGAAATACGTGTTATCTGGCATATAGTAGTAGCATGGATATGGAAATTGGAAATTGAGTTTAGATTTGGGTGTTTTGAAAGGTTTGGAAAGGTTTGGAAATAATTGGGAATTTGGAGATTTTGATATTCAAAATAGAAACACTATCTTGCACTTGAAGCGGATGGTGGGGGAATGGATGATGGACTCGATCAAGATCCCATGGTTCCGTCATCCCGGGTCATCATGGTCCCTGGTCTACTTAGTCAGAGGAGGTAGTCGACCCAACCTGACAGAAGGATCCTTGTCGACAGCCATGGGTTGCTTCGTCCAGGGGTATCTTGTAGACCTGGGTTGGATATTTGCCTAAGGGGACAAATTTGAATCCGCCTTAGCTAACAGAGGGCTTTGTGCCATATCGATCATATCCTATTGATTCATATCTCAAGGATTTGATGCCAATAAGGAGCGTATTGGCGCTGGCCATAGCCTAATACGAATGTATTAAGACAAATATATCGGTCGTAGCAATCGTATATTTGTTTGAGAGTTCGAACCTTGTCGACTCCTATTGATCCGTATAGAAGGATCGGGTTCGAATTTGAATTCACTTGTTGATCCGCGCAGCATCCCTAGACGTCACGTGTGTACCAATAACACGCTCGCCGGGGCCCATGCGGGTGTTTGGGAGCATTTTATAATTATACACTGTCTACTCCTTTTTATTTGCTTAGGAGGATCGGGTTCAAACTTAATAACCCGCACTGCATCCCTAGACGTCACGTGTGTACCAATAACACGCTCGCCGGGGCCCATACGGGTGTCAAGATTGCTTTTACCCCTTTTAGTGTACCTATGTGTATACAAACTACTGTGCACATGCGGGGGTACTTTGAAAGTATTTGTAGACGCCTTCTGTCCGCTTGCATAGAAGTTGCGGATTCGGTGGCGTGTGTTGTAGTTGTGGACACCTTCTGTCTGCTCGTATGAGTGTTGCAGATCCGGTGGCGTGGCGTAGCAGCTTCTGGATAGAATTGTTCGCTGCTTCGTACAGGTAGACTGTCGTGCATTACTTGCATGATTTGTACAGGTAGATTGTAGTGCACTAACTAATCTCCTGCCTTATATTTGCTGATATTTGTTATAGTCCTTTTGTATTCACTTGTAGACTGTGCGTATAATAGGTCTCCTACGGTAGCTCGTAGGAGCTCGCCATTATTATGGTCCTCCAGCCTTTATTATGACCTTCAGCCTCCATATGAAAATGACATGTTACATGTTCATGCTTACAGAGGATTCCTTATTCATACAGCATACCATTCATTATTGCCTTTTATGCAAACCAAGATGTTTATTTGTAACTTGATATTAATTGTTGGTTGAACCACATTCATCGACGATCTCTTCATGTGTTTTGATTTGCAAGTCATTATATGTCGTTCGTCACTGCTTGTAGTCGAAAGACATTTGATGTTGGTTATAAGGAGATTATTGCTTTTGCATCTCATCCACCATCGTTATGTACAAGTAGACTAGTGTGCTTGGTACAAACCTCTGTTAATGCTTATAAGTAGATGTAATAGGGGTCACTACATCTTCTTGCATGACTGTCGTAAAGACCATCATTATCTTACTCTGGTGTAAATTGGAATACTGCTGCATTTGTCGCATGTCTCTTCTTATATTTTTCATGAATATCCCCTTCCTTAAAATTATTGCTACTTTGCAAATATGATAGGGATGAATATTATTCATGAGTACATTGGAGATCTCATGCCACTATTCGTAGTAGAATTGTGTTCTTGTCTTGATTGTTGCTAGTGGATGAAAGAATTTTCTTTATCCAATATATGTCATTGTGTGATTGTGATCAAGTGGTATGCAAGAATTTGTTTATCACTGTTCATTTGATCATTGCACATAATTAGGTCATGTTGACTATTGTAAGTCTTTTATTATCATAAGAGGATGACCCAAATCTTGTATGATGAGTTTGCTCCTCAAATTAAGCTCATCTTGAATTCAAATTTCTTATAACTTGTTCACATTGATTATACTCAAATTCAAATTGAGTTTGCATTTGTTGTAATTCAAATCTAAGTTTGAATTCAAGTTCAAGTTTTTGTTCTTTTCATTTGAGTTTGAATTAAGCCTTTTATTAATGTCGTTTGAGTTCAAATGAGTCCAAGTACAAGTCCCATTTTTGTTCAATCAAGTTTTATCCATGTTCATAAGTCCTCTGCTCTTGTTCGAGTACAAGTTCTATATCCTTGCTCAAAATTGTTCAAGTCTAGTCCTTTGTAGTCTCTTGAGTTCAATCA